TTACAGTTTTTTCCTGCAGATTTAATCTTTGAGTTCAGGCAAACATTAGGTTGATGAACACATTTTTAGTTTGCAAGTGTATACAGAAAATGATGTGAGGCAACAAGTAAGGAATACAGCATTAAAGGGAATGTTAAAGGGAACATAATCACGGTGTTACACAGGATGTAAAAACATCAGCCCACAGGCAGGTCCCAAACACTGACACTTTTCCACACACTGACAGGTCCCACCCCTTCTCTGAACCAGAAGTCCCAAAAATACAAACACTTCCTGGATTCTATATTCCTTCAAAATAAAAGCTTTAATATAGTTTAAGAGACCTTGATATTGACTGAATTTGATATTTCATAATCGCAGCAGCTAAGTGAAATCTCACATGAGTGCTGCAACTACTGAGTATTTTTTATTATATTTTAGTCTGCATATTATCTTTAAGATTCAACAATTACACATTTAGTGATTTAGAAAAATGCCCATCAAATAACGCCCAAGGTGACGTCTTTAACTTGCTTAAGTTTTCTCTGAGTGTGATTCTGAAGAACAGGCCTGCAGGAGTTTACTGGAATATAAGGTATCCATCAAAGACCCAATAATCCATCATTTTACTCATTCAGATAGATGATCACAGAGTTTGAGTTATTGATGGAGAGTCTGCATGTTGTGTCGTTCTCAAGTTGAAAATCTCAGCCAGACTCTGCCTATGTATAATTATTGTTGGTGGTAGAGTTCCCTTTGCTTTACATGTGGACACACACTGTGTCTCAAATCCAAAATGAACTCTGTAGTGTTCCTTTTAGTGTCAGAATGTGTCAATAAGACATTTTAACATTGTGTTTCTCACAATGCTGTGGTCTGAACTGGTTGTTCTTCAGCCTGCTGATGGACACTATGCTGTTTTAAAATCACACAACAATCACAAACCTATTCAGAAATCTTCTGAGCACTTTAAGGACCTGCAGTCTACACTGGGGCAACAGCTTCAAAATACATTCATAACAGTATGCTTTTATTCTGAAGTTCATTTGATGTTTGCCAGTGATGTTTAAAGCTTTGCTTCACATTTGTGTGGCTTCGTCGGCTCCGTGCTCCACTGGGACAGTTTGCGGTCCAACATTAATGTTTTTGTACTTAAAGACTTATTTAAGTATAGGACTTTATTTCCTCGTACAAGTATCGAATAATATCCGCTACCAGTTTATTTAACCTCAAATATCTCCGTTTGAACCGTAAGAAGTTTTTCTTCTTCTTCTTCTTTCTTCCTGACCTGCTAGGAGGGATGAAGATCATGATCCTGTGTCTCTGTCTGCTGTCTACAATAACACTTGGACATGGACACGGTAAGAAACAAAGTGTTAGTGTAAGTAGTGTAGCGTCTTTAATGATAGAGCAGTGCGTAAAGTGTGTGTGTGTGTGTGTGTGTGTGTGTGTGTGTGTGTGTGTGTGTGAGAGAGAGAGAGAGAGAGAGAGTGAGTGAGAGAGAGAGAGCAGCACTTGTTTAGCACGGGTTTAGGTTAAAGGCTGGGACACACAACCACCGCCTCCTACCCCGCTAGTGTCCGCTCTGTTGAAAATAAGATAGACGAGATGAGAACTATGTCTTTCACTGACTTGCACACCACTTTAGTTCAGTGGATCAAATCAGTTCATAATTATTATTTTAATTTAGTTAGTTTAATAGTCGACTTGGAAGAAAGTGAACGTTTTGACAATAAGCTCCATCAACACAACAGTATGTGGAGTTAAAGTGGACCGCCCCAATAACCTCTGAATAGTTCTACTTGTTGTTAAACTGCACTGTGAGCGGCAGCCAATAGGGGGGGTGCATTATGTCGGCAGGATCATTGAAAAGGCAACCGGGACTACATTGTGCGTCTGCCCCATTTCTGATACCGCGGAGGCAGAAACTTAACCGCTGCTCCAAAATCAACATAGAGGAAACACTGATATACTATGTTTGTTCTTTGTCTTACTAAATAATCGATAGAATTGGCAGTCAATAGGATTTTTTTATTCCTCAACAATTATATTGTAATCTGGATTTTATTAAACACAATTATCAATGATGACAAAATAAGTCAAAATGCAGTTTTCCAAATTATTATGAAAAACAGTTTCAAAACACTCAATAGTTTCTAAAGGATTGAAAACAGAAATCTGTTGTGTGTTTTGCATTAGAGGGGATCACTTTCCTCCAATCAAAACTATTTAAATCAAAAACATCTTTAAAGATGGAGTTACATATTAACATAGGAGCCCTTCTTTGATATCCCATTACCAACTCTCTCATCCATTGAACTTGTGTCCATGTACAGTTTCTGACTGTATTTCCTTTGAGGATGCCCGAACTGCCTCCCAGAGCTGCTGTTTTGAGAAACCCCCCCCCATAGAGCTTCCTTTTAAGGATGCTCCACAGGTTGAGGTCAGGAGATGATGGTGGCCACACCGTGATTCTTTCTCCCTTAATGCCCATAGCAGCCTAGGCCTCAATGGTATTTGTTGCAGCATGGGATGGTGCGTTGTCTTACATGAAAATGATTTTACTCCGGAAGGCATGGTTCTTCTTTTTATACCATGGAAGGAAAAATACCATGAGTTCATTTTGACATCTTCAGGCACTACCAACTCCAACTCACTTCCCATGATTCCAGCCCAAAACATCCTCCACCACCTCCTTGCTGACGTCGCAGCCTTGTTGGGACATGGTGGTATCCAGAACTCCATCCATCTGGACCATCCAGTGTAGCACGGCATACATCAGTGAATAAAACTGTTAGACAATTCGTCTTCATGTATTTCCACTGCAATCGTCTCCTTGTGGGCATTGTTTAATGATGACTGAAATACAGCTTCATGCACATCAGCAAGCCTCTGGAGCACCAGCAACTTCAAATACCTTTTTACTATCATCAGTGGCTTTTTCACAGCTGCTCACTTAATACAATGAATTAGCCTTACAGAAATGTTCCTTAACACGCCTTTATCTGAAGGAACCCGTCTGCGCTCTGAATCAGACACAAATCTTTTCACAGGACGATGATCTCTCTTAATATTTCGTAAAATATCCAGTGGTTGAAAGATACGGCACTATTTCATGCTTTTCATCTGCAGAAAGATATTTTCCCCCTATATTGCATGAAACCTGTGACTTGCTTAATAATGTGGAACAACATCCTTAAGTAGTTTCCCATTAATTAGGCTCACCTAGCAAACTAATAAAGACAAACCTGTCTGAGATTGATGTCAAAACTTTCATTGAAAAACAAAAAATCTAATGTTTTTTTTAATTCAAATCATATCTGCATAATAATTTGGAACACAGTGTTTTCAATGTTTCAGAATAATTGAGGTGATGTAAAGGTTTAATCTGATTGAAATATGTTTCATCTTTCAGGTCCAGCTGTGGTCAGAGTGGAAGAAGGCAGTGATGTTATTCTACCCTGTTCTCTCAGCTCCAAGGAGAACATTGTAGATAAACTGTTTGACTGGAGGAAAGATGGTCAGAAGAAGAAGGAGGAGGTGTTCTTGTATGATGGAGGCGATCATTACAATAATGGTCGTCCAGGTCAAGATGAGCAGTTCAAAGGTCGAGTCTCACATTTTAAAGATCAACTGAAGAACGGTAACGCCTCCATAAAGATCAATAATACGAAGATATCTGACAGTGGAAACTACACCTGTGATTTTCCTCATCTTGAACCAAGACAAACCTTCTACATTGAGCTTGTTGTTGGTGAGTACTTTCAATAAACAGTTTAACATTAATCTTATTTTATATTATGTGTGACCCAGCTGTTCTTCTTTGTCCTTTCAACCACTGACAGCGAGTGACTCCTTGAAGATAGCACGTAATCACATCGAGCTGTCAGACTGACAATAATCAATTATTTAATCTTACAATCTGCAGAATCTGCACTTTGCTATTGTACGATTAATTAGTGTAGTGCCCCCCTGTAACTCCTGTAGCTTCTGGCTGCAATGCTCTTACCTAACACATGTTTCTCCTCTTCCTCCTTCTTCTCCACTAAAGTAATATCTTCTATGTCTGAACATCTCTGAGGAGCTGTCTCTGTCTCTGCTTACTTCTCTGCCTCCAATCTCAACTCAGGTGACAAACAGTCACTGCTGCTCCTGCATGCTCTGCTCGCTCAGCTTTCTAAACTAAAGTAAGGTTTATAATCAGTGTTACATATTGAATGCATTAATGGATAAAACTGTTGCATGTTTGCTAACTTGGGGTCTTCTTCTTCTCTGTTTGTGCATGAAGCAATACACCGGTAAGTCACCTGTAGGTGTGTGTGTGTGTGTGTGTGTGTGTGTGTGTGTGTGTGTGTGTGTGTGTGTGTGTGTGTGTGTGTGTGTGATAGTAAAACAGCTCCATAGCACTTACTGTTTCCACCTGCTTCCAGTCTTTATGCTAAGCTAACCTGACCTCTGCTGGTTGTAGCTTCATGTTTACTGCACAGACATGAGAGTGGGATAGAGTGCTGATGTATTATTTCATCTGAACATGGATCTCCCTCATTAAATATGTGGCCTTTGCTGTGTGAATGAGTGACTCTGATTGTGTTTTACTCCATTAGTTCATAATGTCACTCATGAAAACATTAAAGTCTTTATGTCATCAGGAGAAATTCTTCCAAATATTAAGAGTTGCTAGTTCTCTAAAGAAATTACAGGTTGGTGTGATGAATTTATTGCATGCAGCATAGAGAGAATACCTCAACATGAATGTACCTACTCCCTACTTCCAGAATGATCCATCTTATATACCATCCAGTACCTCCAAGATCACCTGGTTACTTCCTAACCATACCCATTGTAAACCACATCCCAAAGCCTTAGACCTTCAGCAACACAATGGTCCTTTGATATAACTTTGATTTATTAACAGATTCTCAGCATACTTCCCCCTACCATAAAGATCACTGACCCCCAAACCAAACTGAATACATTTATTGTCACATCTAAAACATTCATCTCCCACATTTGTCTTTCAGATCCTGTCCTTAAAGAGCGATCAGGAGAAATCCCAGGTGAGGACTGATCTCTGTATCTGTACTGTGTGCTACAACTCTCTAGGCCTCAGTATCATTCAGAACGTTGGGACACAATATTTGAAGCAGTGTTAGCTTCTTCTAAAGATGTGGTAATTAATGACCAGTGAGGACTTTGTGAAGCTTCCCTACAGAGACACATGGTACTGATGATGTTACTGAGCTCTACGTGTGCAGTGTTTATTGGCTGCTGGGAAACAGAAACACTTCAACTGATCACTTGAAGCTGATGCAGCGTCTGAGCTTAAGATGTTGTTGTGTTGGCGCTAACTACAGAACAGTGTATTTAAAGTTGTGAATAATTCACATCCTGTGGGAGACAGAGTTGTAGCACACACATTGCAGATGTAGAAATCAGTGACATCATCAGTCAGGACTCGCCACTGATTTCTCCTGATCACTCTTTAAGGTCGGACTCTGTGGGTTCCCATCTAAAAGGCTCTTCAGCCTTTTCTCATAAAAGTCCTTACTGTCATTTAAAAATAGAATTCAAGCTCATAGAAGATTTTCTTTTAATTACAAGAACCTTTTCTATGGTTATATTATATATCTGTTTATGTTTCATTACTTTAATGTTGGACTGCAGCTAATGATTCCATTATTGATCAATCTGAAACAGTGAAAGTGCCCTCATAATGTCTCTGTGTTCCCTCTCTTAAACACAATGTATTCCACATCCACAGTCAGGGAACACATGAACACAACAACAACAACAATATTTCTTTACATTGTGTTCACAGGAGCAGCTCTAAAGCCGTACACCAGGACACTTACTGCCACAGAGGACGGAGCTCTGCTGCAGTGTGTTGTTGAAGGTGCTTCTCCTAAACCTAAAGTAGAGTGGAAGGACAGAGCTGGAAACATCCTTCCTGCTGAGGAGCCACAGGTCTCAGACAGAGGAGGAAGCTACGATGTTACCCTCCTCACCACTGTGACCAAGACCGACCACTACCGCTGTGTAGTCACACAGGAGGAAATCCACCATCAGACTCATTCTGAGACCTACGTGTTCATCTATGGTGAGATTTCTTTCAAATCATTTTCATTGTTCATGAGTTTATTAGTTTTTAGATATTTTTAGACCCCTTTAATTGCTGTTGTGTGTAGTCTATGAGCAGTGTGCTGTACATGATCTGCAGTTACAGTTTGAGTGTTACATTAACTTTTTGTGATGTGTTTCAGAGAAACTGCGTGAGGAATCATCCAGCAAAGAGCTCATTGGATGGTTGGGTGGATTTTTTAGTGGATGGGTTTCAGGAGTTTTAACTCTTGCTGCAGTTCTGGTTTTGCTTGTGGCTACAAAGTGCATCATAATACGTCGTATTAAAGGTAAGTTTATATAATGTATCAACAGATCCATAATGTGCAGACATCAACATAACAGATCCACTGAGACTATCAGGTCCAGAGACTTTGACAGTTTGTGTTTGTCTTCTCAGATATGAACCATTCTGTTGGTATTTACATGAGGCCTCTGGTTCTAATACTGACTGATTCATTAAACATAAAGAAAACACAGTCATTAATCTATGATCATAACTATTGATTAAGCTCTGAATATCACTCACACTCAGTCTGTAGGCTTAGTGCCTCTGCTGGGTTTGTTGTAGTCCTGAATATCTCAGGCTGTAACTCTTAAAGGAAGAGTTCATCATTTGAGAAATACCCTAACCTTACCTGTTAAGTATGGAGTTGAACCCAGGAGGTGGTTAGCATAGCTTAGCATGAAGACTGGAAGCAGGAGGAAACTGTGTCATGAACCTGCTCACAGTTCATCCAATCCAACTTTATTTGTTAAGTACTTTAAAACAACCAAAGTTGACCAAAGTGCTGTACAGGAGAATGAATAAGACATCATAAATAAAAGACATAACAGCTCACATGAGGAGCAAAATTACATATAAAATACAACAATAAATTAAAAGACATAAAACATGAGTAAAAATAATAGCCACGCAATAAAAAGCAATCAAAATAAGAAATTAAATCAAGTAAATAAAGTCAACATCTTACTCGGTGTCAAAGGCCACAGAGAAGAGATGGTTTTAAGACGGGATTTAAAAACAGACAGAGAAGAGGCCTGTTTAACGTTCAGAGGCAGATCATTCCATAATTTAAGAGCCGACACAGCAAAGACACAGTCCCCTCTGAACTTCCGCTTAGTTTTAGGCACACTCAGGAGCAGCTGATCAAAGAAGGGAGACCACACAGACAATGTCAGTGTTTAAGGCCAAAATAAATTGAATTTAACAATATTCATACTAAACAAAGTATAAAAGATAAATGTACATCAGTGTTGTCTGTAGTGTAATGAGTGTGTGTGATGGTATGGGTAAAGTGTTGTGTGAGGAAAAAGGTAAAGGATTAATCAAACCAAGGACCTGCTGGCTGGAAGGAGAGAGAAAGACAATAAACTGATCAACCTCTTATAAAGCCTAGGAATCAGGATGAACCAGGTGTAGCCCATCTAATGGCCACAGTCCTGCCACTCTGTCTCCTGTGAAGAACACAAGATAAAAATACACAGACCAACCAGAGGGGGGAGGGGTCATCACAACTGTCTGAAGTTAACAAATAAAAAACATTTTTTTATTTAAAACAAAAATAGAAAAGGCACCGGGTCAATTGGAAAATGTAAGAATCACTTTCAGTCTACAACGACTAATGAAAATGTTACTCACTTCCTTATTTTCTTTTCTTCAAAACCACAGAGAGACAGAGAGAGACTGACAGACAGCTACAGAACGGTGAGTACAGACAGAGAGAGGCAGTTGTATCAGGACCAAAGTTACATATTCTAATTTATTTTATCAGGAATTGGGGAAGAAGATAATCTGAGGATGAGGACAGGATGTTATCTGATGTTTATTTAGTTCTTGCAGTGAATATATTTAATGTAGAGTTTGTGGTTCAACATCAGCTTCAAGGTGAAGCTGGGTTCATATTTGTGCTTGTTTTATGTCGTCTGGTTTGTGACCAAAATACTGTATTTCCAGATGGTAGAACTTGTTTTATTTCTGCTTAAAGTTTATTCTGCTCTGAGGATTTCTCTCCGTTCATCAGCTGCTTTATCTGTTCTTACCAGAGGTTGGACTCCTAAACTACCAAGTGATCATTCTGATTGACAGCTCAGTGCTTCAAGTACTTCTTGCTTATTTATATGGCTGACATTAGTGGATTAAGTGATATTTGATATAACATTAAACCAGCAGCCATATTTATAATGAATGAATTTATTCATTTATTGATTTAAAAAGACCAAAGATTGCTAAACTGAGCAAAACCATATTATTGAACTATTTTATGATCTTTTATAGTTTGAGAACATAAAGCTTAAAGTGACTGATTAATTTAGATGGAGGTGAATAAAGTGTCGCTCTGTGATTCACAGCTGTGATTGGTCACAATGCTCATTGTTAACAGTAAAGTTTGAAGAGTCAAAGTGCTTCATTTGGCAGTACAGTGAGTTTCACTGAGATGTTTATTATAGAATTATTATAGAATCACTTTAACAATGATGAAAATGTTTTTAAAAAATAATAAAGTTTTTTATTTTCATGTAATTCTTTTGTCAAAACCACAGAGAGCCACAGCGGAGAGAGACTGAGGAGGATGGATACGAGTTTGAGGCTAAGCGGTGAGTAAAGATTGGCGGTTGCATCAGGGCCAATATAGGAATTAAAGAATGATTTATTTCTTTATATTGAAGGTTTAGGATGTTCAGTGTGTTTGGTGGTCGACCTCAGGGTAACATTGAACATTAGCTCTTTTTAAAGAGATCCAACAATACTGCAGTGAAGAAGACCCATCGCAGGTTTTGCTGTTTTACTCTGAAACAAAAGAGTCATAGCGTGTAACACAGCAGCGTCTGCGTCCATCGGCTCCCCCATTTTAAACAGACATCAGTTCAGCTCATTTCTACGTCCACTACCGGATTAACAGCAGAACAACAATGCCCCCTCTTTAGTGTTTTCTACAGAACGGTGAGGTGGAATAACAGAAACATTCTCACCTTGAACACACCGTATAAAAGAGACTGCTGAGAGTCATCTGTAAACTAATAATCTCATCTGTAAACTAATAATCTCATCTGTAAACTAATAATCTCATCTGTAAACTAATAATCTCACCATCTGCAGACTAATAATCTCATCTGTAAACTAATAATCTCATCTACAAACTAATAATCTCATCTGTAAACTAATAATCTCATCATCTGTAAACTAATAATCTCATCTGTAAACTAATAATCTCACCATCTGCAGACTAATAATCTCATCTGTAAACTAATAATCTCACCATCTGTAAACTAATAATCTCACCATCTGTAAACTAATAATCTCACCATCTGTAAACTAATAATCTCATCTGTAAACTAATAATCTCATCTGTAAACTAATAATCTCATCATCTGTAAACTAATAATCTCATCATCTGTAAACTAATAATCTCTGAACAATGATACAAACATTTAAATCTTTTAGGGAGGCAGCATCTGTCCCAACATCAGAGAACTAAATTATGTTTTCAACATTATCTAAAAATAAAAAGAAAAGAAAAGGCACCAGGTCAATTTGAAATTGTAAAAATCACTTACAGGTGAACAAGTATTTATGAAAATGTTAAAAACAAATGACCGTTATTTTTTTCCATATAATTTTTTTGTCACAGAGCTCCAGCAGAGAGAGAATGAAGAGCCCGTGAAGCTACAGAACGGTGAGTACAGACAGAGAGAGGCAGTTGTATCAGGGCCAAAGTTACATATTTTAATTTATTTTATCAGGAATTGGGGAAGAAGATAATCTGAGGATGAGGACAGGATGTTATTTGATGTTTATTTAGTTCTTGCAGTGAGTGAATATATTTAATGTAGAGTTTGTGGTTCAACATCAGCTTCAAGGTGAAGCTGGGTTCATATTTGTGCTTGTTTTATGTCGTCTGGTTTGTGACCAAAATACTGTATTTCCAGATGGTAGAACTTGTTTTATTTCTGTTTAAAGTTTATTCTGCTCTGAGGATTTCTCTCCGTTCATCAGCTGCTTTATCTGTTCTAAGCACTGAGTGAGGTGATGGAGTCCACACCCAATCTGTCTGTGAGGGACAACAAAATCTTTTCTGTGTAAAATGAAAGTTGACTTTATGTAATATATACTGTTCTTTTGTTCTCTGCAGGTTCTCCTCTGCTGGGACAAGATCGAGTTTTTGGATCCTGTCCTTCTAACGGTTACAGTACAGGCTACAGTTCTTCTAACGGTTCTTCAGAGTAAAAGAAGTTAGCTGTTTGATCCTCTGGTGGCTGCTGTCAGAACAACAGATCCCTGAATCTACACTGCTCAAAATAATGAAGGGAACACTTAAATCACACATCAGATCCGATAAACGAAATATTCAAGTTCACAATCTTTACTGTACTGAACAAAATAATGTAACAGCGTTCAATAGAAACCAAAACCACCAACCGATGAGGTCTGGATTCAAAATCACACTGAAAATCAAAGTAAAAAATTTAAATCACTGGCTGATCCAAATCTGGCATAAATTTCATCACAGCAACTCATAATGGGACTCAGTAGTGTGTGTGGCCCCCACGTGCCTGTATGCACTCCTGACAACATCTGGGCATGCTCCTGGAGGGGGGGTACTCCTCACAGACCTGGATCAGGGCAGGTACCGCCTCATGCTACCAGTAGTGACAGGGACACTCACAAAATGCAAAACTAGAGAAGAATCAGTCAGGAAGGATAAGGAGAGAGCTATTGTCTGTGGTCACCTGTAAGACTCATTCCTTTCTGGGGTTGTCTTGCTGTTGCCTCTTTCGTTGTCACTTTTATTTGCACCAAAACAGGTCAAATGGATTCACAATCACTTATCCTTCCTAACTGGATAGATTGATATCCCTGAAGTTGTTATACTGTGAAGTGTTCCCTTAATTCTTATGAGCAGTGTACAATGTGTGTGTAATGTAACTTGTAGCTGAACTATGTTGTGTCTTAAAGCTTTAATGCTACAACTCATAGGAAGGTTGAGAAAAGAGGATTGTAAATAGTCCAGATGAGAAGAGATGGAAACAAATGAATTTCTCAGGTGTCAGTATTCGATATATTCCTCACTGAAGGAATCAGTTAAAGAGTTAAACTCTGGTTTCAGTTCATAATATTAGGTCAATATTTTATTGTGATGAGTTGTCCAGCTCAACTGCAGCTCGTAAATATTTTATTGATTGTGTGAATATTTTTAACATCCATGTGAAATGAATTTATTTTCACTGTTTATAAGAGTTGACATTGTCTTATACTATTTTCATCATGGTGCAGAGCAAGAATCTTCTATACTCAATGATTGATCATTAAATCTCATTAATGCTGTAATAATGTACAGTGAAGATGAGACAGTATATTTTATATTTTATTATGAGCTAGAGTTTTCCTTGTATGTGCCTTGTTGTGTTGTTCACTGTAATGTGTGTTTAATATTTAGGTCTGTTAATTTGCACTGGAAGTTTCCTTGTTGATGAGATATTCTTCCAATCAGTGAGTTAATGTTGTTAAGTTGTCTTTTCTTCCTCATGTGGTTCTTTGTTATTGGAGCAGCTAGTTAGCTGGTGACGTAGCGACAGCACACTGCTACAAACTCTACATCTGTCTACCATCACTTCCTGTTGCTACTGTGGACATTAAAGTGTCCTAAATAATAATGAGACATTACAATCATCATGTTTAAACTTTTGTCTCCAATCGTTTGAATAAAACAAACTTTCCTGATGGATGACTGGATGCTTTTATTTTGAAGGAAATCAGAGTGATTATTGATCTGCTGCAGCAGCTGTTTTTGATACTTGAAGTCTTACTAAAGACTCTTTGAACACAAACCAACTGGATTTAACATTTACACTTTATTTAATAACCTGAATTAAGTAGATATTTGTGTGGACTGTGGTTGAGAATCACTTCCTTTGGTACTCGGATACTTTCAGAGCCGGTCCTAACCTTCCTGGGGCCCTCAGCCAAAGTCCTCAAAATGTCTGCATTCAAACTGGAACAGTGAATACTATTTATACTGGGGGTTGACTGAATACTTGGTTATTATTTACTGAGAGATCTGCATCCATATTGCTCAGGATGTCCAGCTAATCAACATTTAGATTCAATATTTAATCAATAGTCAATGTATCGCTTAAAACGATGTGTTCCTGATTAACATCATGTCCATATTAACAACAGACACATCCTCCTCCTCCTCCTCTTCCTCTGCACTGTGGATTAATGTGGACATTAAAAGACACATTATTGTTCCAGCAGTCTGTTTGTATATATGTGGAGGGAAAGAACTGAAGTATCAGTCGTTGTGAGACGAGAGTTACAAGAAGGGAGAAGAGTGTTTTATTATGAAAGTAGAACTTATTAACTGACTCATTAATCATTTACAACCATTGAAAAACAGATTCATAGACAATATAATCTATTGTAAAACTGGAGACGCTCTGAAAGCTGCAGTGGCATCAAACACTTTTAAACAGCGCGACTTCAGGTGGTAAATGGCACAATAACTGTGTGCCGATGTCCTTTCAGGTCCAAAACCTCCACCCACAACCCAAACTGTGGGATCACCTCTCTTCTGTTCATCCAGCAGCAGCAGTGTTGACGGATTGACCACCAGAACAAACCGCTGCGGACACAATCCACGAGAGGACTCTGCTGCTGATTGTTGGACAGGTTCAGAACAGTAAAAACAGCTGATGTCAAAGCGTCCAACACGTCTCATATTGGTACAATTAATGTCATTTACAGCATTAACGTCCATTTGTGGCCTCAGTGGCTGCTAAATACTGGCTGCTAACCCGTAAAGACGACACCCAGGAAGGGTCAAAGGTCGAGTGTTCAGTGACGAGGTAATCACGCTGTGAAATAGAAACATTTGATTATTACAAAATATAATGTTCCCACCTGTTTGAAACCTTGTAGCAGCTGATAATAATGTCCCATATTAAACATGAATTTAAACTGTACTGGATCACCTTTACACTTTACTCCTTCAGGGAGGAAACACTGAATAATGATATTTAATAATAATGGAACAAGGTTACTATTGAAGACATCAGTGGATAATGTTACCACCACAGTTAGAGTAGCAACGATTGCATAACGTAATATCATTTATTACGATCTTATTCCCCGACATCATCAGCTGCTACAAACCTCCAACCAGAGCTGAACCCTCCAGAGAGCTCTGCAACCCTGGAGACCTGGACCTCCATCCACAGGCGTCTGCGTGGTGCTGCCACTTTACCAAACCATGAAGGATCACAATAATTTGAACTACTTATACTATGTGACCATGTGAGACGTTTAGAGGTGGAGAGTCTCTGGTGCAACAGCTGATGAATCATGGACATCAGGACAAGAATAAGGAGCCTCAGCTGCACACTGCTTTATTTTAAGAGGCAATCAGACAGAAATGTTGGGAACCACTAGTTGTTAAATAAAGGTAGTGCAGTAAAATGTACAACAGTTCTCTCTGACATGTGGTGAAGTAGATTAATAAAGTTGCATAAAATGTAAATACACAAGCCAAGAACTAGTATCTAAAAACTGAGCTTTACACCAGACTGTGAACGTCAGCTTCAAACCCCACTGCTGCTCATACTGAGGGTCGTCATCAGGTAGAGTTAAATGTGAAACATTTGTAATATATAAGTCAGAAATCATGACTGTTCTTTTCTTCTGCAACTGACCTCTGACCAGTTTATACAGCAGTCGTCTTTAGAAGCTTTGATCTAAATACAGTTTATTCACAGTTTTTGGAAAGACTTTTATATTTGGATTTTACATTTGCTAAAAACACAGTTGAAGCTCAAAAGTTCTCCTTATATTAGAAACATAACATATATATATAAAAATACATATCAGATCGTGAGCCCAGAGATTCTTATGCTACTCGCTAGGGATGGGTGATACCACACTTTCAGGATTCGATACAATCGATACCGATACGGTTCATTTCTTATATGGCAATATTTTTTCCAGTCAAAATATTATCACACTTAAGGGAAATCACATGACAAATACTGGTCATTTATACCAAATGTATTATGTGCAATACATAAAACAAAAAGTAAAATAACATAAATATGAATGAAATAAATTAAATATGAACAGAAACATGCACATTTGCACTTTCCTCACTTATTTCTCAAAACAAAAAGAGCCATCTAGGTATATTACTGTAACAGTCAGATGTAATAGATAGATAGATAGATAGATAGATAGATAGATAGATAGATAGATAGATAGATAGATAGAGGAGGTCAATTTAGAAGAACTAATAGAATAAAGTAGAATAAATAGCTAAATAACGAGCATGGGGCTAGTGTCCTAAGGTGCATGGTCAAATCCAGTGCTTGCAAGGCCTAAGTGTACCTAAGTAGTGTCAGTCAGTCAGTGGTCACATAATGCAGGGTGCACTGCGTCAGGTGGTATATTTAACTGAAGGGCAGACATATTGGAGTTTAGAGTTTTCCTCCCCTGGGTGGAGTTGAAGAGCCTGATGGCGTGGGGGAGGAACGATCTCCTCAGTCTTTCAGTGGAGCAGGAAGCTGAAGCTGCTCCTCTGCCTGTAGATGGCGCTGTGCAGGGATGCAGTGGATTGTCCATGATTGACAGGAGCCTGTTCAGCGCCCGTCGCTCTGCCACAGATGTCAGTCTGTCCAGCTCTGTGCCAAACACAGAGCCCGCCTTCCTCCCCAGTTTGTCCAGACGGGAGGCATTCTTCTTCTTAATGCTACCTCCCCAGCACACTACTGCATAGAAGAGGGCGCTCGCCACAACAGTCTGATAGAACATCTGCAGCAGTTCTTTGCAGATGTTGAAGGACGCCAGCCTTCTGAGGAAGTATAATCGGCTCTGACCTCTTCTGCACAGGGTGTCTGTGTTGGCAGTCCAGTCCAGCCTATCATCCAGGTGTACTCCCAGGTATCTGTATGTCTGTACCAACTCCACACAGTCATCGTTGATGGTCACAGGTTCCGGGTGGGCCCTGGGCCTTCTGAGGTCCACCAACATCTCCTTGGTCTTGGTGGTGTTGAGGCGCAGGTGGTTGGAGTCACACCATGTGACAAAGTCCTGAATGAGTTTCCTGTACTCCTCCTCCTGGTCACTCCTGATACAGCCCACAATAGCCGTGTCGTCTGCGAAATTTTGAAGTCATTTAGCTCACCAGGGTGTGGTCTCTTTGGGATTGGGATGATGCAGGATGTCTTCCACTGTCTAGGGACCCTCCCCTGTTCCAAACTCAGGTTAAAGATGTGCTGTAGGGGGAGTCCCAGCTCCAACGCACAGGCCTTCAGAAGTCGAGGGGATATTCCATCTGGACCTGCTGCTTTGCTGGGACGAAGCCTCATTAGCTCTCCACACACCTGGGCTGCTGTAATAGTGGGTGGGACAACCAGCTCCTCTGTGGCTCCTGAGGGGAGCGAGAGAGAGACAGCAGCAGAAGGGGGTATGGTGACCTGAGGTGTTAACGGGATGGGGTGGTCGAACCTGCTGAAGAATTGGTTCATCAGGTTTGCTCTTTCTGTATCCCCCTCAATGTGGGCCCCCCGCTTTGAGCTGCAGCCGGTGATGATCTTCATCCCATCCCAAACCTCCTTCATGCTGTTGTTCTGCAGTTTCTGCTCCAGCTTCCTTCTGTACTGCTCCTTAACTTCCCTGAGCTGGACTCTAAGTTCCCTCTGTACGCGTCTAAGCTCCTGCTGATCTCCGTCTTTAAAGGCCCTCTTCCTCTGGTTAAGAAGGCCCTTGACATGACTTGTAATCCAGGGCTTGTTGTTGGCATAGCAGCGCACAGTTCTTACAATACAACAACATCCATACAGAAGTTGATGTAGTCAGTAGTACAGTCAACAGCCTCCTCGATGTCCTCACAGTGCGAACCCTGCAGTACATCCCAGTCCGTACTACCAAAGCAGTCTCTTAGAGCCTGCTCTGCCTCAAAAGACCACTTCCTGAATGAGCGCATTGTTGTGGGTTGTCTCCTCACTCTTGGTTGATAGTGAGGCTGAAGCAGAATCAGGTTGTGATCAGCTTTCCCCAGTTCAGGCAGAGGCGTGGCACTGTATGCGTCCTTAACGTTTGCATACAGTAGGTCAATAGTCCTATTTCCCCTGGTGAAACAATCCACTACTGGAAGAAAGCAGGTAGTGTTGTGTCCAGAGTCACGTGATTAAAGTGCCCAGAGATTAACACCAGAGCCTCGGGGTGCTGTGTTTGTAGTCCTGCTACAGCGGAGTGGATGACGTCACACGCGACTACCGCGTCAGCAGGTGGTGGGATGTAAACAATAACAACAATGGCGTGTCCAAACTCTCTGGGCAAGTTGAAGGGTCGCAACCCTACGGCAAGCAGCTCAACGTCCCTGTTGCAGATGGAAATCTTGATGTTGACATGTCCAAGGTTACACCACCTTGTGTTCACGTATACAGTCCGCCTCCTTTCCGCTTCCCACAGGCTTCAGTGTCTCTGTCCGACCTCACTGTGCTGAAGCCGGGCAGCTCAACGTTAACGTCCAGGATGATAGCCACGTTTCAGTGAAGCACAGCAAACTGCTCTCCTTGTAGATTTTAACGTTTTTCACCAGCGCAGCCAGTTCGTCGATCTTGTTCTGTAGTGAGTTAACATTCCCCATGATCACCGACGGTACAGAGGGTTTATATCGCCACTTAGTCGCTTGGCCTTTAGCTTTGCGCCGGCTCTGCAGCCACGATAGG